GTTTTGGTCTACTCCAATCAAAAGAGAAGTCCTACATAAAGGACTCAACTTTCTGTTATCACTCGATAACAGGTCGGTCGTTGCCGATTCAACTTTTCCCCCTTTTGACTTGATACCCACATCTAAAGTCGAACCCTGTGATCAGTAAAACTGTCACCTGTGGTCATTGCCTAAATGGTCATAGTCACTCTCAATGGTCCTTTGAAGAAATGTGAGGGGGTTGGGCTTACGTCTCAGGAAAAGATAGAGCTGCATTACATTGTTTGGGAAGTGAGGGACATAGTCTGAGGCGTGGATTGATGGTTGACTCCGCTAGTGCATGGCATGTGGATTCTTTTTGCATTATCATGTGCAGGTCTGTTTTGTTCGTGGGTTTTGGATTAAATCTGGGCTTGACATCGTGAAGAGTCCTAGGCACACAACACTTGTGACAGTGGAAAGGGTTCCAGGCGGTAATATTCTCATACTCTTTATGGTCTTATATAAATCCTGTGCTGTTTGTTAGCAGTAGTGACATAATCTGTTCAGTAGGATAGAGAGTCTTAGCAGCTAGGAAAGTCGAACAGGTTCGATCATCAGAAAATTAAAGCATAGAGCGGAAATAAACTACCATTAAAAAGTTTGACCTGAAGTACGTAGCGGGTCAGTTGTAGGTGTCTTACTGCGCGTACCCCATTTAGTGCTACAGCGATCGAGCGAATGCCCTCGGCCGACCTACCTCTACTCAGGCAAGTAAAAGCCTTTGCACGTGGGTCGATAATTCAGCAGGGATACACCTACCTGAGGGTGGTGACAGCCCCTCGGGAAGAGGTAAGTTGTACCTCGCGACGTCTCGACCTGTCGCAGGGCGTCGTGAGAGGTATAGCACGCGCACACGGTTGGAGTGGTGACAAGTTGTTTTCTTCGAAAATAAATCCTGCGTGACACGGCCGTGAGGTTCAGCGCTCCCAGCAGGGTGCGCGACTGCCTCGCGCGACAGCGTCCCTACGGCCCCTGTACCGTGGGACGTGCAGACCTTGTGCTGAACCTTGCCCAGTTCTGCTATTGTTGCTTGCCACCGGGGCGCCCCCGGGATGATACTGTGTGGTCGCGTGGAGTTCGTTGTCCGTCTTGGTTGCCTTTATGAGATTGCTAGAGTGGTTTGCTCAGCTGGCCGGGGTGGTGGGGAGGGGGCCAAAATAGCCTGGGGCAGGATGTCCGGTGGGAAGGACAGAGTCCAAGAGGGGGGGGGGGGGGGGGGGGGGGG